GTATGGTATTTGATATGAAATGATGGGGAAATGAGGTGGGGAATATTTAATTACTATGCTTGGTATGAGTTTTGTTAAAAAAGTTACATCAAATAATTTTCCCAATACTTCTAATTTCAACTACACAATGGCAAAAAAATTGTCCTATTGAACCTGTGGTATTTTTTTTCTCCCTATCATCTTGGATTGTGAATATGATATCTTAGTCAAAAACACCCTTCTGATTTGCTGAGAATGGAGCTTGCCTTAATCATTTGATAACTTACCATAATGATATATGTTTATGTCATTGAAAATTTTGTAAATTATTTTTTAATATTGAGGTAAACAAAAACAATTTTTTGACATGGTTACAAAGTCAGGATAACTAGTTAACCACTAGTAGTGGGGCATGGAGTGAAATATGAACGTTGAATATGAATCACTTTTCATATTCAAAAAATTAAAGGGTGTTTTGGTATTTTTGATTCACATTCCCATCAATATTTTATCATCAACCAAACATAGTATCAGTAAAATGAACCCAACTTTCCCGTCAAAATTTTGGCCAACCAAACACTTTTTCGTCACTTACCCAAGCTCAAAAAAATCCTACCAAATCCCCAACCATCTTTTTTCTCAGTTAAAAAAAATATCTCTCGTACCAAACGCTCCCTTAGGTTTACCAGAACTCTCACCAACAAAAAATGCACTGCCCTGCTTGGCCAGAGACTGTTCAGCACTCTCAAGCTCGTGCATCAGCTGAGTGAGATCAAGATTCAACTTGTTCATATTATAGTTCATCTTGAACTAATTGAAGTAATCAGGGAATGATTGTAAGAGAAGGTCAACTTTCACTTCTTGTTCAAACTTAACCCCATGATCCTCAGCCTTCTTAAAGTTTGCAATCATTGACAAACAATGATCCCGCACACTTCCTCTAGACATTACTGTCTTAGTGACAGCATTCAGCGCAATCTGCCTAGCAGAGCTGCTAGACGTAGCAAACATGCCATCAAGAGTCTGGAGCATAGCTGCTCCACTCTCAACCATGTTTACCTGCTCCTGAAGGTGATTAGCAAGACTGGCTAAAATGTAACAGCGAACTGCCACATTTGCCTTCTCTCATTTCTCCTTCTCCTGCTGAAATTGGGCCTTTGTTGCCTCAGGCGCATCTTCAGCAGGCTGCGCTAGTATAGGGGTGGTCAGTACAAAGTTGAGCTTTTCGTATTGTAGAACAATATCAAGATTAGTTTTCCATTGTTTGTAATTGGTATCATCCATAGGTTTTTGGCTCAAAATAATTGCTAAAGGATTGAAGGAAGACTTTTTCTGGAAAAACAATCAAAGCACACTAATTACAAACTAGTATTAACAACAAACAAAAATATCACTAGTAGATTCTAATAACTACTAATCGTTTATTGTTTAACAATCCATTAGTTATCTTTACAAGGCTTACGATGGGCAAGATACTTGTAAAACTAACATTGTTATTTGGGCCTTTAGTTTCATTGCCAGAGCCTCGATGGGAGGGTTAACAACTTTACCTAAATTGAATGTATTAACCATTGTTTACTTTCAAAATTATCTTTAGTGTCTAAGTGTTGCCGACGATGGGCCGTACAAAACTTTACTAAAATATTGAAAATATTAAGGTTTAATCCAGTGAAATTCGATTATCCTTATCCGATGGGGCTTCAGCGATAACCATTCACTAATAAACCCACAATTAGAGCCCTTAGGTTTTTGAAACTTAATTTAAAAAACCTTCACCCATTCAATATTTTAAAATTTTAGAATTTTCCAATTTCAAAAAAATGTTTCATTCGAAAATAATTTTGTTTGATTTCAAAAACTATGTAAGTAAGTGTGCCGGTAAACGGGCACTTAGCTTAACATAATTTTGAAAGCATTAAGGTCCTGAAATCCGGTCACTTTACGTCAGCGTGTGCTCCACATAATCATGATACATGAATGTTGTATGCAGCGTGTGTTATTCCATGACCATTTCAGAAAACCCACAAAAAAAATATTTTCTTCAAACAATTTTCTCTTAGGAAATTATCTTGCCAATTTGTCTTGATTTTAAACTCCAAAAATAATCAATTTGATTATTCTAGATTTTACAAAAATCATAATAATTAATTAATTTTCAAAATTAATATAACCATTAATCTAGATTTTGTTTCTAAAATCATAATTTTATTTTACCAGAATATTTAAAATCTAAAACTACGTGCATAAACTATCATATTAGTCGGTAATGACATAATAGTAAATATGCACGTATGACATGTGATCATGCAACAATATGACACCTTCCTATCCTATATGACATGTTATCGCAAATATCATGTTAATCGCACATATAATTCATACAAATCAATAAAAGCATTAAATAATAAATTCTAATTACTTTAATCTATAGCCTTCCTATTTTAAAGAAAATAAAAAAAAAATATTACAACTTTGGAATTTGCCTTTCGCCTAGCCTATAGTATCTGTCTCAAGCCCCTTTAGGGTTTCCATGGGCCCAATAAGCCCAAAGACTCAATCCTTTGGCGAGAAATCCTAGGACGCGAAAGAGGAACCCTAGCCGTCAGGTTTACCAAGCCGTCACCCAAAGTCAACTCAGGCCGAAACTCCAGGGGAAGGACCACCACAAAGAAACGAGTGCACCTCCGCCGGAACCACCCAAAAAGGTGGCCCCACGCTCCCACATGCGCTCATTCCTTGTAAGAGAGTGGCGGCCACTCGCAGCCACTTGTGGCAGCGCGTGTAAGAGCGTGGAGGCTCCGGTGGCGGCGATCCACCCACTGTTGTGTTCATCTTTCTATCCTCTTTCCAACCATATATGGATCGTCCCATTCTGAGCTCGGGAAGTCCTCGAAAAGTCTCTGACTCCGCATCTTCCTCGCGGTTTCTCAATCTTGAACTTTTACAAAATATTGGAAAAATACACAGAAATTCTGAAAAATAAATAAAAACAGCAAGGAGGAAACCTAATCATTTGGGATTAGCCTCCTTGTTACAAATCGAGAAATACACGAAAGACCCTAACCATGGACTAAAGCATTTTTACCGATTAAAATTTAAACTTTATGAAAAAAAACTATAAAGAATCAACAACATGAATATAAATAACAGATACAAAATAAAGGTGCCATATTTTCAAAATTCACATAGAAAAAATAAATCAATCAAAACTGATCTTAATCCCCATCACAATCCGGCTTTGATACCACATGAAGGATTATCATCAGAAATGCGGAAGCGCATCGTACCGATGCGATGAAGAATAAAGACACCGCTTTGATTACCTGGGGTGAAGTAGCGAGCGTGACAATTTCTCACGTTCAATTCTCTTTCTCAAGCCTCACGATCTGCAGCAACGCACCACGAACGGTCGCAATTGCGCTCTACGGTTGATCTTTCAGGCTATGACTCAAGGGGATCAGGGGTCGTGTGGGAAACCGTTCAGATGATGAACGTCTGCCTCTCTGGTATGTTTCTGATGTCTGTAACCCTTTGAGCCACTAGAGATAAAAGAGAGTTTATATACCCTGCCCAATTCAAAACTAACCCTAAGCTTCATGGGTTAAAATTAGACTTTGGGCTCACTCTCACTAATGTTATTGGGCTTAAGTGAAAAGAGTATACTAAACCCAACAATTAAAACATTACAAACAGCTCTAACCATAACCTTAAGTTATATTGAGTTCGGCACAATAATTCAAGTTATAGAATGAACACATAGTACGATTTCTTAATGGGACAAGTGTGTATCATTTTAAAGGATGTAAAGTTGTATTATTTTAAGTGAGAGAAATAAATAGATAAAGGAGGAGAGAGAGTGGACAAAAAAATATAAAGGTGTGGGTCTCATCTCTCATTGTGAGAGTGAAAGGATAAAAGTTGTGTCATTTAAAAGGATAAACATTTTTCTCTTTCTTTGTATATTCATTGCTCCTAAATCGCCGGACAGTTGGGTCTAGAATTTTTATTTTATTATTTGTGGTAAATTGGCTCTAAAATTCTATTAAGTATCTGAGTGACATTTCTCTTACTTTTTGCTCTAAATGGGTATATTCATGTGATTATCTTCACATGTGAAGTCAGAAAAGTTGGTCCAAGTTACTTGTGGTTAGAGTTTAATGAGCATTCAATGAGGAACTTACCAATCCTTGAATAAACAAAAATACTTTCATGGAACCTTCTAGCCACCCTTCCGCTCTATATTTTGTTTATGTTTTTTTCTTCCTCCTTGGGTGTTATCTGGCTGTGAAGCAATATCATTAATATGATTAAATGAAGGAACAAGTCCAAGCTAAGGTGAAATGTCGTTGAACATGTCAAAGTAAAAGGAGATGCCATTGACTTTGAGATTGGCATGCAGATAAGTGACACCCTAACAAATTTGAGCTATATTGATTCGTTAAACTATATACACATTAATCATTATTTAATAAAACAAAATATATAGGACAAACCAAACACTAAAGGGCATGATCAAATTGCCAATCGAACAAGCTTTACTTAGTCAATATCATAAACTATTATCATATATAATATTAAACTTGGTATGCTTATCTAGAAGGTTATCCGGCATGTCTTTTACTTGAGACAAGTAAGAATATTGATTCTTCAATAGTAATAGACTATTCTCTAAACTCTATTTGCACGTTGCATCATAATATAAAACAGTACATTGCTAAAGTCAAATTTTAGCAATTATGAAGTCATTGTGTTCAGGTTATCTGTTTGTTTTGGTGCTGAAAATGGATGCTTTGTGAAAGATTATGTTTTTCACTATTACGTAATGAGCATTGTTTGGCTTATATACCGTCCCAATATATGACCAAGTAAGCCATATTGAGTGTACCCTTCAGAAAACATGGACGTGCAAGTGAGCAACTATTTGCTATGTGAGGTGAGTGCCAATTGATCTCAGAGTGAAGCTAGCAAAAGAAGTGTCACAGAGTTTGTACTTTTAAGGAGAACATCATTGCAAGGTTGCAATGTTTGATGGTTACCAGCATTTGGTGAAGGCTTCACCACCTGCAAGAGCACAATCACCTTTGAAATATAGGAGTGTATCTTCACGCATGTTAGTGGGATTTATTGCAGGCATTTCAACAGTAATGGCAGTGGCCTTAGTATACTACCTCTGCAGGAGAAAGGTCATTCCATTTCTTAAGAAACCTAATAAGACTTTGAAAGGTGAGGTGCATTTGTACAAGTAAATACAAAATAACCAACCTAGTAGCTCTAGTAGTAATTAGGAACAAAAACAAGACAGAAATTCTTGAACTCACTTATTTCATTCACCTAAGGTGACACTGAATTTGTGAAGGTTTATTTTTGTTTTTTTCTCATTTGCTAATCATTATTGTTGCAGGAAAGAGATATAATAGCTTGAAATATGACAAAATATTGTTAAGGCATTTTGATTTTGAGGAGCTAGTGAGGGCTACCAAAAATTTTAGCCAAGAATGCTTTCTGGGTTCTGGTGCATTTGGAAATGTCTACAAGGGAAACTTTGACTTAGAAGGAACACTAGCCATTAAGAGATCTCATTCTGAATCATTTTTAAGTATTGAAGAATTCAGAAATGGTTAGCCTCAATCAAGATATAAATCTGCTTCTTTGACTCGTGCCAATCCTCCTCACAACTTCCACAGAAGAGAAAATTCAATCTATTATACTTGACAATTTTTTCTTTGTTCTTGGCAGAAGTTAGGCTCCTTTCAGCAGTAAAGCACAGGAATCTTATTGGTTTGGTTGGATATTGTGAAGAACCAGGTTACTATATAACATTCAAAAGTTCTCTCTTAATTTATGGAGTTTAAAAAAACTAGAAATATTTGTCACAGTTGATGTTCGCAAAAGCATGTTGCTTTGGTAGTTTGTACTACTATATATATGCAATTTTTAGTGTCGTGCAGGAGTTATTCCAACATGAATTATGTCTATGATCATGTTGAGCAGGTGTTGGACTTGTTTTCATATATGCGATTCTTGGTTTGTCCTACTAATATATTGCAATTCTTAGTGTTGTACTTGTTTTTATAAACCTCGTTTTCATGTCTATGAATTATTTTCTTAGTGTTGTGCAGGAGTTATTCCAACATATTTTCATGCTAACATGGCCTAATTATGTCTTGATCAGATCGAGATGGATCCAAAATACTAGTTTATGAATATGCACCAAATGGTTCACTGCTTGAGTACATGATGGGTAAGTTTACTGTCTATCCTTCTAAATGCATACTATATCATCATACTTGTTAAGAAACCAACGTACCTTAGAAGTAAGCTATTATGTGTAGGAAACAGAAGGAGGAGCTTAACTTGGAAGCAAAGAGTGAAAATAGCAATCGGAGCAGCTAGAGGTATATTCTTTAAATGATAGTCTTCAGTTAATTTAGCAAAAAATCATCTAATAAACATAGAATTGCTTGGTACTTTTTATAGGCATAGCTTATTTGCATGAAGGGGTGAAACCAAGCATAATTCATCGTGACATCAAACCAAGTAACATCCTAATAGGGGAAGGTTTTGAGGCAAAGGTTTCAGATTTTGGGCTTGTTAAATCAGGACCTACTGGGGATCAATCACATGTCAGTAGCCAAGTCAAAGGGACACCAGGGTACCTTGACCCTGCCTATTGTTCAAGCTTTCATTTGACCAAATTCAGTGACGTTTATAGCTTTGGTGTCATACTTTTGCAACTTGTTTCAGCTAGACCTGTGGTGAATAACACTGAAAACCAAAGCAAACAACATATTATTGACTGGGTAAGCAATGCAAAAAGCTCACACTATTACATTATATCCAGCTACCAAAATTTGCATCATGTTTCTGTCCTATTTGTCAAGAAGTAATTAACTAAGATTATATTACCATAACTTGGTAAATGTTATGCAGGCAAGGCCTAGCTTAGAGAAGGGTAATGTTGAAGAAATCATTGATGCAAATCTACTATGTCTAAGTAAGCCATGCAATATGAAAGTTATGTTAAAGATGGGGCAACTTGGTTTAAGATGTGTGGTTCAAGAACCAAAACATCGCCCTACAATGTCCCAGGTGTGTCAAGAATTAGAGCAAGCCCTCTACTCAGTTGATAGCTTCAATAGCAAGCGATCTTCTAAAGGTTTGCTTAGATCAATTGGCTCATCCAAGCAATCAGCAGATTCCGAGACACAGGGGTCAGGGGAACACAACAATTGTTCAGAGAGTTTTGTGAGCATAGACGGTGTTGGATTTGAGACATTCCATATTGATATGGATAGCTTCTCCTTTCAGAGCACAAACTTAATGTGTCTAGAAAATAATAGTGTCAGTATTGACACTGACAAGAACAATTTAAGAATACAAGAGGATGACACCAAGTAAGGTAAGACCTTAAATGAATTGTGTTCATCACTCCTTTTCTTATATTTGAATTCAGGACTTCAGGGTAAAGCAATACCTTGAATGAATCTCAACGTTTATAAATAGAGTGACAGAGAGAGAGAGAACAGTATTATCTTGTCTTTCCAGAACAATATATATGTATTATATTATCTAAGGCAGCCACCGACAATAACTTTTAAAGAAGAAAAAGAGATAATGAGCAATTTCTTCATGTAATTTTCTAATCTCTCTTTTTTTTTTTTTCTCTCTTTTATTTAATTCCTTTTCTCCATCTCTGGTTAATACAGGTCAGGTGGAATTGGAGGAAAGGAATTAAATAAAAAATTGTGTTTAACAAAAATGAGAATAGAAAAGAGAATAAGAAATTGCCACTTGGCAAAAATTTCTTTTACTTTTTTTTTTTTGTTTATACTTTGTCTAAAATATTATAATAGATTCACCATAATTTATCAATCAATATTTATATGAAATATAAATTATTTAGAAACAATTCAAATTATTATAAATTTACAAGAGTACGATTTCCGTAATTACAACTAAATTTCCCTATCAAGTTACTCTTTCTTTTTTTACGTAGTATTATACCACGTAAACTTCATCTCAAGTCATAAAATATCAATGTAATTATCAAATTTAATAATAACATATTAAAGAAAAAGAAATATTTTAACCCGTGAAAAAACACTTCATACAGGCATTTCGAAAATTGCCAAGAGTAATATCACAGCTGAAATTAGAAGAACCAAAATCAGGCTTTTGTAAAATGGAAGGAGTAAAATTGTAATAAGCTTTTTTTTTCTTTTTTCCTTCCATACCTATCACCAGTTCCAAATTTCGCATTCACCATCCTTTAGTGTTTTAGCCTTATAGCAAACAGAACCAAAAACAAATATGGATAACAAACAATAGGAACTTTGGATATTAATGTATGATGTTTTCCTATTGTGCGAGCGACAAACTAGTTATGCATTCAACAGAGTGCACGTAAAAGTTTAAAGAAGTCATTTCCCATTGGATGAGAAAAATCTGAGATGCAGAAAGCTTTGCCTCTGAATGATCAAATATTCAAGGTCACATTTGGCTTTGGTGCTCAATTTCTATGATGCTTTCCTCACGCAAGCTACATGCCCCAAGTTACTTGTTACACTGTATTAATTGACCGCATGTTTTTTCAATCTCTGTTAAATTGGATATACAAGATGGTGGGTAACCAGAGCTCAATGTCTGCAAAGGGTTCAACACTACATACAAACGTAACAGATCATTCTGCCAGCTTCATCAACTAGAATTAAGTTCCATAGGTTCAGCGCAGGGAGCCAGAGTTCTAGAAGGTAGGGGAACACCACCTCCCCTCACTGATAAAGGAGGACCTCTTAGTGAGCTGGCTCTGCTGACAAGATTGGAATCAAGAAATACAACTACAACAGTGATGTCATCGTGGAAATGCCGGCGAACACCGCGGTCAATTTTCTTCAAATCAGAGTACCTCATCTCTCTCTTTTTTGCTGCTTCCAGCAAAGCAGCTTTGATGAGCTTCCGAGCACTTCCCTGCAAGACAAAAAAGCATGTAATGCCAACATCTATCTTTTACTCTCAGATGCTACTATTTAAGTGTTTGATCCTGTTAAATTATCAATTTTCCATCCAAATTGCGCATGGCATGCACTTTAAGTCACAGCTTTTGCCTATCTAAAAAACCAATAAACAGCCTCTCCATTTTAACTCCCAAGACCGTAATCAGTATCATTTATATGAGAGCATATTAACATGAGCTAAACAAAAACAGTAATTACTTATTAGTGCATCGAAAAGCATGTTAGGCGAATCAAATGCTAAATGCTCCAGCAAAGTGTGTGAGAAACACCTCATTTGAAACTTATTGAAAAGAAAAGGGGCAGGCAGATGAGTCATGACTGGAGAAAACTATAACAACTATGCAATAAAAAACATAAAGCAAAATAGAAACAACAATATAGTACATTTATCTTACAGTGTGTGGATGATTTTGAACTATATCAACAGCATCCTGATTGCTAAGGTGTTCCCAAAGACCATCAGATGCAAATATGAGAAATTGATCATGCTGTTGAAGTTCATGAACAGAAATTGATGGATCAGAGCTTAAAATTGGCCTTTTAAAAGCTTCCCGAAGACGAAACTTAGCATACAATGGTTCCTTGTTAAATTCTGCCTTTTTAAGGTATACATCTCCAATGGATCTAGAAACCTGCCATACAAAAATTTCATAACTAAGTTGTATCGTACATGATAAGTCTAAATAATTTACTATCATATAGACACCAAATTCACTCGAAATTAGCATCCTTTGCCATGTGAATAATATATTGAATAATTACTAGAGAAACTAATAAATGTAAATATCCTTTCGTTTGCTTTACTGGAAGATCTTTGAATCAAGTCCTTAATAAAACCTACAACTGAAGCATAGTAAAGATACATCTTTTATTGGTAATTTCAACCCAACCCGCTACAGGGCAGGGCAGGTGCACATTTAGGGTCTACTTACCTTGCACCCCTTATCTAAATAAACATTATGCTTATCTTAGTAGTTACAGTTAAAGTTAAATATCTTAATTTATCTTCACTACTTCAACTTTTTAGTTATATCATATAATAGATTGATTCATATCTTAAATGATATACCACATAAACATGGTTCATCCACAATCTTATGACATCGACCATCCTTAAGGAATAGGAGGTTGTCAGCCACAGGATACTAAGGTGATTGTTCTTGATCACTTCAGCATGAATATAATTCACATTAAGTTCTTTTAAAATCATATAAGTTTCTCCCCAAGTTTTCATTTTCCCAACTGGGAGAATTTTTAAACATTACTTCATTACTTCCTGATCCAAGGACACCCATTCAACACCTCACATAATGTGTAAGCCAAAATCAACCCTAGTGCTTTTCATGCTTTATTTCTTCCCAATCATACAGTGCTTAAATTACAATTACATTTATGAACACCATTTCCATCCAGAGATCTAAAAGATGAACATTGATGTGTAGCAAAATCCCATCACACCACCGAATTAGGCTCTAGCCATAAAACCTTTCCTGCAATTTTTGGCATATCGGTGAGCATCAACAACTCTAGAAATACATAATTTCATCCTTTTCTCAAGATGCAGCACTTGATCTACCATTATGACTTTTTCACATTCCAACTTCTAACACCATAATTTGTTATTAGCAATTGCTCTCACTTTATAATCTTCAAAATAACTCATGAACCAATGGTATAAATAACACACTCAACTGTACAACCATATGCCCTCAAACACAAGGAGTCTGAAATAAATAGCTACCTCTTTTGTATTGTGACATTGGCAGTTTTGGTGTAAGCTGTTTAGACTGCTTGTTCACTGCAGGATATGTCCCCTAATTTGGGAGTCTTTCTCTCTACTCATTGTAAAGGTTTTGGAGGTAGAGAGGATTTAAAAAAAAAATTGCTATGGTACCGTGCACTTTTCACTAGAGTTTGGGGTATTTGCTGCAGCATAATCCCAGAATTTGGCAATAATTATCTTCCTCCAAAACTTTTAAGGAATAAGCTAATTTTTATCTTACTTCTTAGTCTTCTAGAGAGTTTATGTTCATGTGTTTTTCTGAGGGTATTCCTAAGTAGCAAACGGGACTGGTTGCTCTTTTTAGCTGATGTCTGTTATCTTTTCTTGCTTTTTTCTCAACAGCTATTGGAAGATTCTTGATCATCCTGTTTTATTCTCTTTCCTTTCTTAATGCATTCTTCCCATTGAAAGTATAGGGCAATGATGGAGACGGAGATGATAGACAAAATATAGCTTACTGATAATCGTATGATGTGATATGCTAGATACTAACTAAAAACTAACACCTATTTATACAACTAATCCAGGTCAAGTACTAGTACAAATCCATCGCAATGAGACTACTAACATAACAAGATTCCTGGCACATGAACAACCCTAATATTCTAGAACTCCTCTTCAAGCTAAAGCTTATAAGGCTTTTAGTTTTAGCTTGTTACAAATAAACACTTGTAGATGACAACCTAAAAATACAAGGTGGGCTCCACAAACCATAGTTGGAAAGGTAACACAGTAAAATGAGGTATCATAAATACTGCTAAAGAGACATTAGAGAGGCGATACACAAAAATGAGCTCGGCTAAAAAGATAAGTCAGCAAGACAGATGGAATGACGGACAACCATAAGATCTATTGGAATATTTCCTGGAAAAGGAGGAAGAGACACCATTGGAAAGACAGGTAATTAAAATTACTCAACAAGCAATCATACGCAGCAAGGCCCAAACTTTTCTAAATTTACTGGGAAAAAAAAGATATTTGGAAGTTTACAAAAGCAAGAATAACCTCAAATTTGAATTCAGAAGACCCAAAAACCATGGAAAATATGTCAGAAATGTGAACTGAATCAGGCTTGAATTGGCTCGAAAACTACTTGTATCAACTCAATCAATAGGTTGAAGCTGGAAGAGAATACAATAATAGCACAAACCAAACAGTAGACAAAATTCAGCAATCAAATATGCACCAAATAGCTCTAACAAAGACAAGCAGAAGGATGGAACAGAGAGAAGCTAAAGTGCTAGATTGATGCATAACCCAACAGAGACAAACAGCAAAACAAAAGGAAGTAGAGTGTCACTGGACAAAGAAACTACTACAGGAAAGAAGTTTCATATTTTGGGTACTCAGCAACAGAATAAAGACAGGATTAGGTCAAGGAGGATGGTAAAACTCAATACCATGTTCAAATTATAGGAGTTTGATGGAAAAGAAGAGAGGAGACAGAATACATCTGATTGATATTTGTATATGACATAGATAAAGAAAATGCTAGATAAGCTAGAACTTCTTACAGGATAAGTTGGCACATTTATATGCATGAGACTTTATTCAACAACCATTAGTGAATTGGATCTAGCAGAATTCTGTCAAAAACTCAGATGAAATTTGTAGTTGTGTAGCAACACTTTATTAGATAAAAACCAATAATTCCTAGTTATACGACTAGTTTAAGTCAAGCACTATTATAGTCAAGACTACTAATATTAGTCAAGGCAATTAATATAAGGGCTGTGCAAGGCTACAATAGTAATCAACATCAACATCAACATCAACAACACCTTTATCCCAAATTAATTGGGGAAGGCTACAATAGTAATAATGATTAAAAAAGAGAGTATATTACTTCAATCGCTCATTCATTTGGTTGAAAATACAAGAATTCTCTTTTTATCCCCAAAAACTTCAGTTGCCTCTCTTGATGTTTGTACATTTTTAAAATCAACTTCATATCCCAATGCTTATATTTCAATAAAAATGGTTTAACTTAGGAAAGGAGATGCTCATACCCAAAGATTAAACCCTCTTGTGTATTATATGATTATCCATGTTGTTGATACAACGTTTTCTGTATTTCGCATGTAAGCCAATCACATTTTCAATCTCATCACTGAATTAAAACCACTTTTTAAATATTTTATTTGCCAAGAAAAGGACAAATGACCTAAAAATATTATTAAAACAGTAAAAATAAATAAATAAATAATACGTGACAATAACTCCTGTACAAGACAACAAAGCCTAAGCACAACGGACCAATTGTGAAGAGATGTCAGTCTACACATTGCATGACCAATACTTACAAAAAGTCATCATAACACAGAAGACTTGGTCTAGGTAAGAACACCCCTAAACTAACAAAAATACTGACAGTATGTAGTCTAGTAACACATCATATCAAGCTTTTGAAAGACTGAAAATATATATATATATATATATATATATATATTAAATTGTCCAATTTCCAAAACAAAAGGACAGAAAAAATGGGGAAAATGAGATGCTGATCCCTTGTTAATAAAAAATACAATCACCAAGAGTCATAAGTAAAACTTACCTGAATCAGACCCTTCACCCGCCATACATTGTGCTTTAGAACCACGATTTTCGGATCATCCGGATGCAAAGAATGCATCTCTTGTCTCACAGATTCTATGGCCACATTATGCTCCGAGGAAAGTTGGATCGCCAGAACCTCCCCAGTTGCTCTGACAACCCGCCCAAGCACAGCACGAGAATCCCCAAGGTTAGCAACATAGAGGACACCGCCACAAATTACACTAACCAAACAACAAGATCCCACTGCTGCAATCTGGGCATTCATAGGCCACTCTTTAGTAACCACTGACAGAAAACCTTCTTCCGTGGCTTGATACGCCTTCCTAATAACATCCACTGACATGGACTTCTGCTCAGACGCAAATCCTTAAAAAAAAAAAAAAAAAAGCATACACACATACACATATCAATACAAATGTCAGGAAGCAACATTAAATAAAAATAAAAAAATTCTTAGGTGCTGCTGGAGCAAGAGATTTTCCTTATTCTGTACTATTAGATATGCACAACATCAATTTTTTGGGACATATATATCCCTACTCTTATTTTTGGTTTCTAAATCAGTTCATCCAAAACCAACTAGTGGTCGAGCGCTGTCAGACCCATAAAGGGAACACTTCTGCCAACACCATTTTCTCAATTCTTAGAGCTCAAACTCGAGAATTATGGTCAAGGCGAACTTGCTCCTTACCACTAACCAAAGGCTATTGGTGAATATCCCTATTCTTTAACTACATTTTTAATGCTGTAGCGGAATTAGTACACATTCAATGATATAGATCATTTCTTTTACTCCAAGAACACCTAAGAATCAAGTTAAAACTTTTTAAAAAAAAAAAACCATTACGTTTTAAATGTTGGAAGAGACGATCACAAATGTAGCGCGAAGTCTCAGGTCCACCGTGACCATCATAAACACCAACAAAGGTACCATAAGGACCATTTTCAAGCAAGCTAAGAGGACCAGACTCAACCTGGCTCTGATCCTCAAGCAAGTTATTTGCCTGAACAACAGCCATTGAGTATTCACCAAACAAGTGCTGCCCGACATCCTTGTACCACAGCAGCCCTTCCTTCCTCCCCGAAACATCGGAACCACCCTTGCCGTCCGAGGATCTTCGCCGCCAGCAGGCGCACAGAAAGTCCATCAACCTTGATAGCATCCCTCATTTCACCCCAAAACAACCACCAATTTCCTTCACATCCAAAAAATGGATGCAATCTCTTCTTCACCTATGTATGTGTCTGTGTATCTATATATACATACACATATATTTGTTACCTTACCAATCAATCAAACATTAAAATTCGAGAAATCCAAGGTTGAATAATGAATTTCAGTTAACAAGAAGAAAACAACCACTGGCGACAAAAACGGTTCCTGGAAATAAATACAAACAAACAAACAGGTGAATAAAATAACAGAACACAACAGCACAGAGTTGTTGGTAAGAGCAGTACTAGTACTAGGTTGCAGAACAAACAGAGCAATCAACAACGTTTGGATCTACAGATCCAAGAAAGTGAAGTGTGTGGTGGTGGTGATAGGGTTTTGTGGTTTTGTTGATGTGTGTGTTTGTGTTTTTGGTTGTGTTTGTGTTAGGGTTGTTGATGTTAAATAGAGAATAGAAGAAGAAGAAGGAAAGTTTAGGGGTAATTGAAGGAGGAAAAGGTGTTAATAATGAGTGATCGGTGGATGTGAGTGACCTGAAACTGAAACTCTTTCCTTTTTATTATCTAAAGTGGTCTTTCTGGACAGACACCGAAGAAAAAGGGGAAAACAACGCCAACTAACTCTCCCTGAATTTTGTGAATATTACTTCACACGCTTTTCTCTCTTACGCTATTTACCATTTAGTTCTGTTTTTACTTTATTTTTTAAAAGGAAAAATGTGTTTTAGAGAAAAGATGTAAGGCCCGTTAATTTATGTTTTTCTTTTTCTTTTCAGAAAAAGTATTTTTTTTAGTAATTGTTATACCAGAAGAATTATATTTATAAACTAAATTATTTATAAATTCTAACCCTCGATTGTTGTTAAGTTAATGATTATAATTTATTAAAAATTAATAATTAATTAATAAATACGATCTAATAAAATATAACCGCTAGATTCATAAAATTAACGGTTAGAATTTAATTTTAAAATATATACAATTTTTTTCTTCAAAATACAAACCTCAAAAATTATTGTAATTTTTATTACAAAAGTTAAAAATACAAGTTTCTAAAAACAATTCATAAAAAATATATCTTAAAAGAATTTCTTTTTATAACTTATCCAAACGTACTTATAGAGGAAAAAGAAGCAAAAGTGATTTGAAAATCTATTAATAATATCATTAAATGCGTGTTAACATAGTCCTTAATCATCACTTAAGAAATATTGAAAATTAATAATGACATAACAATAAGGATAACACCACACAAATATTCAACAAAGGATGTTCAAACTAATACTGAAAATGAAAATTGTCGGATTGGAAAGATTCAAATTGTAGTGGTATACTTATCATCATCTTTTAAGGAGATAAAGAAGTTAATATTTTTAAATTGGAGAGAGAATGATCAATTAAAAACTTAAAAACAAATAAATGTGCTTTAATGTCAATCATTATGGCAATAATAGGCAATTGCTATATTTGCTGCACCCATATATAAACTTAAAACTTTTATATAGTAGTGATATACCCATAAATGAAATTCAAATTGCGAATAAAGTACCAGATCAAATCTTGAAATTGACATCAAATAATCTACAGCAAAGACACCTATCAATATGGAAATAATGAATTTTCCCTAATAACAAGGATCACATGAGAGATTGGAGATACACACAACTGTCTATAACATTGAAACCGAACCTGTGATCAAAATCTTTCCCTAAACAACAAAGCCCATATGTGGTTCTTTTAAGAATAAAAAAGAAATAACATGACTCCCATGAGAAAGAAAACAATTAACTAGTAGCTTCAATCCGATTTAACTTGCTCAAGTTTCTTTCTTGAAGAGTATGGCTCCCCTTCCACCCTAAATAGTAAATACAACTCAAAAAATATGAAAATAAGAGTAAGTTTATTGACAATTAAAAGGCAACAGATGGCCAAATTAAAAGGCAGAGAACTGCCCCATGAACTAAAAAGGAAAACATGAAGAAAAACAAAAAGTATCAAACTTTGATTATTACATGACATACCAACGATTAAATATGCACCAAATTAATATTTTTTTACTCAAAATGAAATTAAATGAATATAATGATTATATACAAAGAAAAATTATATTGCAAGGTTTATATTTTAGCCTCACGAAAGAATTTCCGTTTCGATATATCCCTTGTGGAATAGGAATCTCAAAGTTATGTTGTTCTTAAAATATTTGTTGGTTAGTTAATTTAAATCCTTGTGAAAATGTAATTTTATTTTAGAAGATTTATTATATGTGGAAATTTTGAATTATTAAATCGTTACCTAAAATGACTCTAGCTATGTGAAAGTTATAGGATTGGCAAGCCCGTCACGATTAAGCCACTCTTTTTCAATAAGATAACTCTAACATATTTATTTTAAAGTTAATACAGAACCTATGATAAATTTAAGTAAGTTATAGATCATTGAACTGTCTTTGCTAAAAAATTTGAAAACCTCGATTAAACAACCATAGCACCTCAGCTAACTCCTTTCTTAAAACAAGTTAAATTTTTTATGATTTACATTTGCAAAAAACCAAAAATTCACTATAATTATTTTTTGGAAAAATCTAGATTATCAAATTGTCACAGCCAAAATGGCCTTAAACGAAAGATAAAGAGTTAACAAGCAACCTTTTCAATTAAAACAAATGAATTTTTCTAGTCATTCCATACTCTTGTTGTTGTATTATTATTATTATTATTATTATTATTATTATTATTATTATTTAATCAATTACTTAAAGACAATAATAACCTTTTAAGTTTATAGACACTTATTGCAATGTATCCTTGTCTAAAGAAGACTAGAAAAATTAAATCCAAATAATCCAATGAAAGTAATAAAAGGTTTTGTCACTTTCTTTCTATTTTTTATCTTCCTAAATTATGACTGAAGAAATGGCGAAAATTAAAATGATACAACAATAATAATAATACCACACAAATATCAACAAAGGATGTTCAACCTAATAATATAAAAATTGCCGAATTAGGAAGATTCAAACTGTTGCAGTATACTTACCACGAGATTCATTCAATAGTAACTATTTATCTAAACCCCACCTAAAGGCATCATGATCTTTTAAGGAGATAAAGAAGGTTATCATTTGTAAATCGGAGAAAGAAGGATCAATTAAAAACTTGAAAGAAATAAATGTGCTTTGATGTCAATCATTATGGCAATAATAGGCAATTGTTAATTTGCCTCCATCTATTTTTCATGCTTACTAAACTTTTATATAGTAGGAATTTACCCTTAAATGAAAGTCAAAGTTCAAATAAAGTACCAGATCAATTCTTGAAATTGACATCAAATAATCTATAGCAGAGGCACCTATTAATATGAAAATAATGAATTTTCCCTAACAACAAGAATCATATGAGAGATTGGAGATACACACAACTGTCTAAAACATTGAAACCAAACTTGTGATCAAATCTTTCCTAAACAACAAACTCCATATGCGGTATTTTTAAGAAAATAAAAAGAAATAACATGACTGCCATCAGAAAGAAAACAATTAACTAGTAGCTTCAAATGAATTTAACTTGCCCAGGGTTCTTTCTTAAAGAAAGGTATGCCTCCCCTTCCACCCTAAATACAACTCGAAAAATGTGTAAATAATAGTAAGTTTATTGACAGGTAAAAGGAAAAAGAAGGCCAAATTAAAAAGGGAAAAACTATTCTTATGTTACATGACATAAATTTTCTCTCCTATACACCCTTCGATAATTGTGCCACTTTTTTCTTTTTTTTTTCTTCTTTTTTTTTTCAGGTGGTGGAGCCCACTAGTTTATCTTTATGACATGAGATAATTATCTCCTTTAACATGAGATTAATAAAACCCAATTAAAAAACAGTGACATTCTCCATGAACTAAAAATGAAAACATAAAGAAAAACAAAAAGCATAAAACTTTGATGATCACATGACATACCAACTATTAAATATGCACCAAATCCAAATTTGTCTACTCAAAATGAAACTAATTGAATGTAATGATAATATACAAAGAAAAATTAAATTGCGTAGATTTATTTTAGCACGACGAAAGAATTTTCGCTCTGACATATCTCTTGATGCAATCAGAATCGCAAACCTATGTCATTCTTAAAATATTCATTGGTTAGTTAACTTAAATCCTTATGAAAAAATAATTTTATTTCATAAGATTGATTAAGTTTGGACATTTTGAATTATAAAACTATGGGATAAGTTATCCTACCTTTGTCTACCCCTCTTAACACCGTTAGATTTTAATCTCATCCAACGGTGGAGATTTGTGGGATAAAATAAACTATTTTCCCTTTTCTTTCTTCTTATTTTATCTCACACCATTTTTCTCTCCTCTCCTTTCTCGGTAGCACAATCATACTAGCCGGAAAATATTTAACAGATATTGATTTTTTGTTCTTCTATAAGTTCAAATCTAACCCAACGAGAAGTACATCCATGAATATATTGAATTGAAGCAAAACCAATTAGTTCATATTTTGAAACCCTAGTCCAGGGATAAAAACATTCGAAAGATAGGAAAGTGGCTAATAAGAAGCTAGCTGATTACACAAAAGACTTAACATTGCAAATGATCTGAACATAAAATTGAGTTCTTGTTTTCCTTTGATTTTTAGTAAGAAAAAAAATCTCAAAGATGTTATCCTGAAACACGTGTGATCCAGAGAAAGGGTGGGAAAGAAAATGAGGAGAAAGAAATGGGAAAAAAATGTTTATTTTATCTCGCAAATCTTCACTGTTAGATGAGATTAAAATCTAACGTTGTTAAGAGGGATAGACAAAGGTAGGCAGAATAAATGTAGGTAGAATAACTTATCCCTTAAAAGATAGATAACCACCTCATGAACTAAAAAGGAAAACATAAAGAAAATAAAAAACATCAAACTTCGATGATCACATGACATATCAACGAATGGTTGTAACAAAATACGATGGATCCCTTATGTAAAAAAAATGAAAAACAAAGAACACGATAGATCTAAACACCAATAATTCAACAAAATCAAAGGTATTAAAGAGACTATGTAAAACCCAAAACACACTGAGAAACCAAAACAACGGAGGCAAAGAGCGTACACAAATCTTAGCTACTTATGCGATTCAATTTTTTATCTCAAATAAAATAACAAGAACAATACATTGAATGGAAAGCCTTCAATAAGATCTTTTTTCAAACAATTTATGCCCAAACCAAGAAAAAAATAACATTGCCTATGAACTTATAATTAGACCTCATACATAAAACCTATGTTAAATTAAAATCAAGAATGGACAATTCGAAGGAGTACATACTCATTCTCATTTAAAGAAAAAGGAAAAAGTGAAAATGATATTCAAATCTTTTGTTCTGTCCTCTATTTTCCAGAGTTCTTCTTGGCCTTGAAGATCTTACTTCTTTTGAATCCCCTTAGTTGTCTCCTCCTTGTATCACTATGTATTTTTCTCCTCTCTTCTCTAAACTTTTCTTGCTTTTCAATCATCCCCTCTCCCCTCTTTTGTTGGCTTCCAGAAAACATTTATAAGGGAGGTTACTCTGAAAAGGACTTGCTTTCGGGACTCCAAAAGACCATGT